GAGTCCCAGCTCCTGTTCAAAAAGCCTGGCGCTCTCTTCTGTACCACACTTTTCAAATCCCCCTGTTTGGTCTTCCTGATCAGTGGCCCTAGATTAGAAACCGTTTTCTAAATAGGCAAATCTGGTTTAGGTCTTCTCTCCCAGTGCCAGAAACACCATTTTCCAGGCTTCTGTTGCAGAGCTGAAAGGACAAAATTCTGATCAGTAAGACTAATTTATTGTGGAGAGAAGAGCAGCTGACAGAGGAAAACAGCAATTTACATTTTCCAGAGCTAACGGGGTTCCAGGAGGAGGTTGTTTGCTTTCTTCAGTCCCTGGTTTCTTACCAGCATTAGGGTTTCATTTCCTTCAAATGCTAGTGAGATTTTAATGCTACTTTGCCGCCTGTTATATTTAGCAATTTCCAGCCATGACACTTCCTAGAGCCAACCAAAGCTACTCCCAACCTTCAGAAATTTGGAAAAATACTCCAAACGATTGAAGTTGTGATACCGTTTTGCCTGTCTGGTATTACATACACACGCAACTGATGCCTTTCGTCAGAAATTGGCTCCGGTCTGCACCGTTTCCATGGAAAGCTTTCTGCGTTTATTTGAAAATCCATAGGATGTCAGTAAATTTCCCAGAGACTTAAGTAATGCTCTGCTTGGTGTGACAGTGCAAGGCGGCAGTACGGACCGGTGATGAGGAGGGTCATCTCTGAAGACATATTTTCTTTTCATTTCTGCCACGGTGCTGTGAAGGAGTCTCTAACTGGAGACTGCATCTTTCCATACCTCTGCTCCCCTCACATACCGGATCTTCAGGCTTTGTTGTCTGGTTTTTGGGCTTTAGGTGGTAGTTTCTTGTGAGGTTTGTACAGGACCTAGCACACTGGAATCCCTGTCTCACTTGGTTTCTTTTAGGCGTTACTATAATATAAACCAGCAGCACTAATATTTTAGCTGTAGGGAGAAATGTACTGGTTTGATGTGTGCTGTGTAGAATAAAGAGAAAGCTACTGCCCCTAGCCCAAAAATGTGAGTAGCATAGCAAATATGTTAGTGATCTCCCAGAAATGTTAAATGAGATGGATTCTGCTACAGCCTTCGTATCACAGTGAGTTTTTAAGAGATTCGCCTGTCTCAGTGTAGCTTCAGACTGACACACTCAGGAGCATTGGTGAGCCCCGAAAATAAGGCTAAGTCCTAGTTCTGAGTTTGAGAGCATGATTTTTCAAGGTGGGGATGTTATAAAAGGAGAGGATAAATGGGCTGAAAGAGCTATAAGAGCCAAAGCACTGCAATTTTATGGCAGGGCTTTATAGAAAGGCCAGAGAGATGTTTTAAAGAGTAAATAACCTGCAAAATAAACAGACTAGCACAGCATGGGTTAAAGCAGTCCCGGCAGGAAGGTAGTAGCAATCTCCAGGTTTTGCACGGCTTTCCACCACGCTGAGATCCTTCTGCTGTCTCGTGCCTTTGCGTGAGCATCTGCAGTGACGGTGCAGTATGAAAGCGCAGGCGATCTCTGCGCTGCGTGCTGGAGCCAGCGTGGTGATGGCAGCCGGGGCGAGGAGCCGTGATCTCTGCCTGACCTTGGCACTGCAACCAGCGAGGGAGACGGGGCCAGAGCCACCCTTCGTGACTTGTCAGAAGTACCACCGTACCTGGCTGCGCAGGGAGAAACGGGCTCTGCAGCTCTGATTTTAAGAGCATCCTTTTGCCAGCCAGCGTAAACCCCATTGCAAACTTTGGGGTTGAATCTCTTCCCTTGAAAGGCAAACAGGAGAGTGGGGAGTGCCCTGACCTGTCTGGAAGAGTCCTGAAATGCAAATAGCACGAGAAGTTAGATGCAGAAACAGGTTTGTAAATGCCAGTGTGCTGCTGGGGAAAATATGTCTAATAAGCTGGTGTTACAGCTGTCTTCATGCTCCTTCTGTTCAACATTTCCAAGCTGCTGCATGGAGTCCCAGTCCTTCATTTCTTTCCTAAGTTTTTCCTGGCTGAGGCTGTCATTAGTGTTATTTCTTCTCTTGGTTCTACTGGCCTGTCTGTCAGGTCCAGGCTGTTTGTCTTGACCTCTCTGTTGAAATGGGGTCATGAAGCCACATTTACTGCAGGGTTGCAGGGTGGTGCTGCCCTCCCAGATGAATCACAGAATCAATTTGGTTGGAAGAGGCCTCTGAGATCATCGAATCCAACCTTTGCCCTAACACCACCATGTCAACTAGACCATGGCACTAAGTGCCACCTCCAGCCTTTTCTTAAACACCTCCAGGGATGGTGACTCCGCCACCTCCTTGGGCAGCCCATTCCAATGCCTAATGACCCTTTCTGTGAAGGAATGCCTCCTCATTTCTAGCCTGAACTTCCCCTGGCGCAGTTTCAGACTATGCCCTCTTGTCCTATCACTTGTTACTTGGACTAAACACTGGAACTAAACACCCCCAGCTCCCTCAACCGCTCCCCATCAGACTTGTGCTCCAGACCCTTCACCACCTCGTTGCTGTTCTCTGGACTCGCTCCAGCCCCTCAATATCTGTGTTGTAGTGAGAGGCCCAAAACTGAACATAGGATTTGAGGTGCGGCCTCACCAATGCAGAGTACAAAGGGACGATTGCTGTCCTGGTCCTGCTGGCCACACTGTTTCTGATACAGGCCAGGATGCCATTGGCCTTCTTGGCTACCTGGGCACACTGCTGGCATAGATGCTCTCCTGAGTACTGTGAGGCTCTGGTGGTATGAGAACATGCATTGTCTGCCCAGTATGGCTGAGGCCATGAAGACCACAAACTCTGACTGCAGGGAGCCTGCACAACTAGGAAGGGTACCCAAGGTTTCTGTGCCTTAAGATTCCCTTGTTCTCTGGAGGGAACTCCTTGGGCCACAGCAGCCCTTTGGGGGTTCCCGTGTCCTCCTGTGTCAGGAGGTTCCTCCCACCTCCTCTTTTCCTGGGACATACAGTTACAGGTATGAGCTCCCTTTGTTTTTAACTTCTACATACACTGTGAAATAGTGACCCTGTCTTCCACCCAGATGGACAGATGTGGTTAAACTGATTTCTCACAAGGAGCACTGTATTGGTTGCTCAGAGTACAGGTATGGGGAACAACCATACCCACTTTACTTTTTGGTCTGGGAAACACAGCAGTAGAGCATGTGTTTGTTTCCAGGTACACTGATGCTTTCCATGCCAGTTGCACTGGAATTCAGGGTTTCCAGTTGTGCAGTTTTAAAAGATATTTTCAGTGGTAGAGTCAAGAAGGCATTAACCTCGTATTCAACAGCATGTGAACCCCATGCTCTTGACAAAAAGTGCTTTTGGAGTTCACATCTTCTCCCAGCTCTAAATTGTGCTTCCCCTTTGCCTGCATAACTGCCGGCATCCTGCCAGCCTCAGCTTTGGCTGCTTCTCCTCTGCGGTGGGGCCCATCTGCCTGGCATGGCCCTGGGAGCCAGCTGGCAGGGGGGGAGCCAGCCTTGGGGACCGCAGGGGGGCCACGAGCCGCGCAGCGCCTGCGCGTCGCTGGCTACGCCGCTGGACCCAGACCCCGACACTGCTCACGGGCACCTGTGTCTCTACGGGTGAGCGTACCTCTTCCAGCTGCCTTCTGCCCAGCTAACGTCTAGCAAGTGAGGTTTTAAAGGAGAATTTAAGTATGATTCCCATAAGAGGGCACTGGAACAGCTGTGAGATGTAGCATCACATGGGAACGTAAAAAGTGCCCAGCTGGCCCTTACCCATGGTCTGTCCAGCCCAGAAGAGCATCTCTGACTGCAGTGATGGAAGATGCTCTTTTGGGAGAGCCCACAAACTTGGCCACGCTCCCCAGCACTCTCCCAGCAGCCAGAGGCGCTGGAGGATGGGCCCTGCCCTCCCCTGGCAGGGTCCAGTTATGGAGCTGTTGTCCATGAATTTGCCAAACCCATTTTTGAACCAGTGCTGTGTCTACTGCCAGGCTCTGGGATGGTGAGTTTCAGCAGTTCACTCCTTGCTGTGGGCAGAGGTGCTTTACAGTATGTGGATGGAGTATTTTCATTAAAAGATGTTTGGAATGGGAACTTCTGGGGTCTCTTACCAGCAATGACCAGCAATTCGGGATGAAGTTGCTCAGTCTCTGCTCTGGTTTGCGTGAAAAAAACCCACATAAAGTTCTAGTCTGTCTTTAATGAAAATGAAATGATAAAATTGGGATAATACCTACTTCATGCTGCTCTTGAGGGTTAATTAATGTTTACAAAATCACTTTAGGTCCTGAGATTTAATTGAAGGAAAAATATTACCGTATAAAATGCCTTTTTATGCAGACGTTGCTATAGGGTTTCAGCTGGGCAGAGTGCTGTGGAAGCCAACATTAGCACATGCTTTACTACTTTTATGGTCGTGAGGCTTCCTGTAGTTTATATGAAAATTGTCTCTCTGAAATCACAAATGTAACATCAGTGTTTTCCTCTCACTTTGAAAGAATATTAATTTGCTATCTTAGGACTTGACTGACTATTTAAACTGCTATAAATACAATTTAACTCTGAGAAAAAAGTATAAAATGAAATATTTGCTCACTTGCTTGGGGTGAGCTGATACAACTTGCTAATGACTCCACCATTGGAGTCATATGGACATTGCTGGCTGGTACGAGGAATAAATTAGGCTAGTACTGGGTGTCCTGCTGTAGTTTAAGGGTGTATCTGTGTGTTCATTATAATCTTCTGCTATCAAGAGATTTAAAATACAGCTATAAAACTTCATTTCTGGAGTTAAATTTAACTGTGGAGGCGTCAGCCAGGGAGCAAGCTCTGTTGAGTGGGTTTGTTTTGTGTGGTATTTTGTTTTTTTTTTTTTAAAAAAGACTAGCAAGAGAAGGAGAAGCAATACTGGGTTTGGTTGATTTCTCACTGCATAAGCGTCCTTTTTTCTGCTGTAACATTTTTTGTCTTCGCACAAAGAGTGGTACAGGTTGGGTGGACTTGGAGGTTGGATCAGTTACTCAATCTACTTCTGTTGTTTCTGCCACACAGGGTGACTATGACCCCAGCAGAACCAAAGTTCTTCATTTCTGCATGAACCCAGCGAGCTTGGCCAAGCAGCAGCGCAAGGAGGAGCAGCAGCAACTCCAGGAGGAGTGTGAAAGGCTGAGGGAGCTGGTGAGGGTGCTCGAAGGAGGTGGCTCCATCCCTGGGAATTTGGAAGGAATTGGAAGTTTTCAGTCACCACAAGAAATTGCAGGTAGGCTGCTGGCTTCTGATCCTGAAGATACACTTACTCATCCATACTGCCAGAGGAGCTGACTGCAGAAGCAGATGGAGACATCGCAGACAGTGTGCTTGATGGAACAGTATAAGGAAAATTTAAAAAGCTGAGTTGATGCAGGGGAGAGTGAATTTGTGGTGGCAATCCTGTGGCAGTTTGGTACAGAGGGTAGGTGGTAAGGATAAATAATAATAATGCATATCATTTGCTCATGATAAATGAAATACCAATACAACAGCCTTCATAGGCTGGTGCTGCCGATGGAGTAAAAGGAAATATTTCCTTCCTTTCAGGGCTGGTTTAGCCCTTGAGGTAGTACAGACAGCAGGAAATAACTTTCAGAGCTGCAGGGAAGCAAGTGGTTGAAATCTTTTCAGACCTGGCTTAAAACATATTAATATTGTTTATCAGTGTATATGTGCCCCATTAATCACAGCTACATTCAATACTCCATGAAAATAGAGTACATCATTCCCCGAGCAAAATACATTTCACAGAATTTGTGACTCTCCAGTATCGTCTGTCTTCCCTTCACATATCTGAACGAGACTTTTTAGTACAGTAACCCCAAAGTCAATGCCTCCGGACATGCTCTCAGACTCTCTAAATCAAGGTAAGGATATCAATAAAACGTGACCCATCACCTACAACGCTGCGAGGGGACCAGGCAGAGTCGAGTCATGCTGCAGAGCCCAGGAGGTCTTACTGCTGTAACTCTCCTGCATGTACCTTGCCCTCAAAACATTCTTGTTAAAGAAGAGAAAAATAGACGAGAGCTGAAGGTCCGTGTGGAGCTAACCTGTAGTGTCCTAGCAGCATGCACATGGTCAGTGTCTGGAGGTCAGGATCCTCCCTCAGATGAGGCTAAGAGGGCAGAGCTTTCCTCGAAGGCCATGTGTGCTGGAGACCTGAGACTCACAAAATGGCAGAGCCTTGGTTTAAAGAAAATACACAGAAGAAAATATCTTTCACTGTTACGACACTAAAATTCTCTGAAAGTAGCTTGCTTGTTTTCCCATTGCTCAAACAATAGTACTTTATTACTGCTAAGAACGCATTTGTTCTGGCATCTGATAGTGGATTATGGTACTATATAGCCTTAAAAATATGACGGTGAAAAGTGTAGATGGGGTGGTTTATAACGTGAAGAGCTGACTGGATGTTAGAGGTACACTGACAGTTTGTCACTGTTGTTAGTGGATGCTCTAACAGATGCGTAAGCATTAAACACTTCCTGAGCGCTTAAGGAAGGCTGTGCTGCCTTTGCCTGTAGGAGTTTCCAGTGTAAGACCCCAGTGAGACTCAAGCAGTTCTTGGGGATAGTTCTTGCATTGCAATTTGAATTTGAAATGCACTGGTTTTTAAGTTACAGTGGATGCTGCTACCCAATGCCCTTGTCTGTCGTTATGCCCCCGAGTACCCGGCACATCTAATGCTGCAGATCCACGCAGCTGACAGTGCTCCTCGAGCCCAGGGAGGAGAGTGCTGGTCAGGGGCAGAGAGGATGCAGAGGTGAGGTCAAGTCGGTGTCTCTGGTGCTGATAAATGAACCTCTGGGGTATCATCTACAGTAATTAGACCATTTCTTCTGGGGGGATGTGTTTCTCACGTATGCCTCCTGTGATTTGTTATTCATAATTATTATTCTGCTGCCTTTCATGCAGCTGCTTTTAGCTGTTTGTGAGGTGCTTCTGTGCTGGGATGTTACAAGGTTTGTCTTTAGCTCATAAGGGATGCATTTTTAAAGATGTTTTCTCTTCTGCCTTTGATTCCGACAGGAAAACAAACAGCTCACTGGGTTTCAGGGTGTTTCCAACCTTTCATGCGTGTGATGCTTTTTCTCCTTTTGCCCCAGTCCCATGCTACATCATTCTGACTTCTGGTCACCAACTCAAATGGGAGAGAGCATCACTTGCAGAGCCTATCAGAGTGGGAAATACTTCAGTGTCATTTATCACAGTCACAGGAGGGCCCTTTGCATTCTCAGAGCGCCTGTAAGTGCGTATGGAAGGGTTCGTGTAAACAAAATGAGAAAAAGAGCTGTGAGTGAAGGATGGAGGAGCTCTGTGGATGAGACCAGGACATGTATATAGTAAGCCAGGTTATATGGAAAGATCTTGGATTTTTTCTTGTATTTTATGTACTTTTATGCGTCACTGTCATGCACAGGGAACGTTGCCATAAATAGTCCTAAACCCTCCTTTCTGCTGCGGGAGCATTCAGTAGTGTGGTCAGAGGATGAAGACTGTGTATATTAGGATGTGCAAGAGATGCTGAGGATGTTGCGGCACTGACTGCAAGGTTAGCAGACATATCTGAGCTGGCTTTAAATTAGCCAGATGAATGCCAGATTTGGCCTTCTTGCTAGGGCAGGGCAGAGCTCCTGGTGGGTTAGGGGACAACTCATCAAGCACGCCGAGTAAGCTGCATCCATTTTTGCGTTGTCTCTATCCTGCTTAACTCACGCAGCATCTGCAGTGTGGAAGCGACAGCTGTTCCAGGAGTGGCTCAACAACATGGATTTGCGTGGCCAGAAAACTTACACTGTCTTCCTCTGGATAAGAAATGGGAGATCCAGCTTTCACTGTTTTCTTGGGATCTCAACAGCTCCGCCCACAGGAATGGCTGCCATATGCCTTCCATTTTAATATATTTTCAAGGTGTGAAATGAGGAGCATGTGGCAGAAACTCCCTCTGCTCCGTTTGTCACTGTGCCATTGGCTGCCTTGGGGAGGGAGGTTTATTGTGCTTAATAAGGGAGCAGGTTTCAGTGAGGTTTGTGGAACTGTTTCTATACAAAAGTAACAAAAATTAGAATTTTTCTTGCACCCCTTTCTGTCAGCTGCAATACCCATATGTCTGTTTATCCATCTCATTCATATGACACACGCAAGAGGCAAGTTCAGTTCTCTGAGCTTTTGAGGTGGGAGGTGCCTCGTGTCAGAGTTGGATGGGATGAAGGGAGAGAGGACAGAGTAGGGCAAGTGTGGATAAAGGGTGGGAAAACAACAAAGGTCATGTGTAAGTTTGCATTTTGCCTTTTGACAGATAGAGGTAAATGTAAGATTTTATTGTCCTATTTTGCCATATAGCCTGAATGGCTTATTGGCAGAGGTGAGGGATTTGGGTGGCCTCTAGCCAGTCAGGTTTGCTGTGTTCAGCAAGCTTATGTGATATGCAACAATAACACTTAAGGTTCAAAGAATTGTAATTATACTAACCAAAAAAAGGCATTAAGGACAATGATGTTGAGGGCTTTGATAATGTATTGGCCATTATTAAATTCGTTCGTTGGACTGGAGTGCGTCACGTTTTTTCTGATCATGGTTCCGACTCCTGGATAGGTAATAAGGAAATTATTACTGTGGACGTTAAAGCTCATTAAATGTGACTCTATTAAAAATCAAGGTTATGCTGGACTTTAAATCTCTTTGAGCATAACTGCTGGAGGCTGCAGCAGAACCTGGCAACTTGCCACGTAGTTCAGTGGTCCTTTCCTCTCATTTATGCCGTAGTAGTCTCTGTTAAAATGGGTACCAGGGCTATTGCAAAGGAGAGGTTTGAACAATGTGAGCTATAATAACATGCTGTCCTTTTTCAAAGTATAAATTTGCACACAGGGTTGTGCAGTATTAATGGGGCAGATCTGTGGCAGCTGCATTTCGGGAATGGGCTAGTAACTTTATGGGTGTTTTGTTTCCCTACCAATGCTGCCTGAGTCCGGGTTGTGTAAGAGCAGGGTGCACCAAGGTCAGGCTGCCATATGGGGAGATGCTCTGAGTCCTCCTATCTCTGATGCAGATTGTAACAGCTTTGGAAAGGTGGTGCAGGGCATCACTGCTCAGATTTGGAATCTGTTCCAGTTCTGCATTTCTCTTTCCTGTACTCTTCACACCTTCCTCCCCGCCCCCCCTTCTGTATTTCAGGCTGCATCTTCTGCTTTTTTTTTTTTTCCCAGCTCCATAGCTTTTCCTGTTTTTTTCTGTTTCTCTCCAGGCCATTTCTGTTTAGATCTTCCTTTTTCTGTCTTGCGTGGTCCTGTTGGACCTCTTGATTTTTCTTTTCTGCTGCTGCTAGGGATGGAGTTCGGTCTTAGTTGCAAGCAAATTGGTAGGTGGCAGCTAATGGGGAGCTGACAGGAATAATGACTTGTGTATTATAGCAAAGCATAGGTAGAAATGAGAATGCTTCAGGTGCTGATTATTTCCATTTGTATTCTCAGCTTAAATGTAGTATATTGGAAGGTAGGAATGGATGACCCATGGAAGCTGGTTCCTGACTAAAGAATGCAGGAATACAAATTTTCCCTGAGCTGTCATGATTTATTGCTATCCTGTAGGTACAGTGGAGTGTTCCCTTCTTTAATGCAGCCTCTCCCTGTGAGAAAGATGAAAAGTGCTTTTAATATTCTTTCTGTTAAGAGGCTGGCACCCCTACGAGGAAGGAGGATGGGGAATCAACTCTTATTTCAACCATCTGTGGAGAATTTTGAAAGTGAACTATTTTCTTGAACATAATCCCACCAAAAAGGAAAGCTATTCATCCATCTTAGTGGTTTCAGTGCCCTTTTTCCCTTGTTAGGGAAAAGTAGGAAAAGGGGGTCCTTGATGAAGGACCGGGGAGTCTCACTCTAAGGCAGGTGTTTGACCCAAAGAAAGATGCTACATCCAGTGTTCAGCAGAGGCTATCTCCAGAATCACTGCTGTGTCAGGGCCTTGTAAAAATGGAATTAATTGGAATTAAATTGGATAATGAATTAATATTAAAATAATCTAATCTTGTTGAAGTGACAAGCCAGAGATGGTAAAATTTGTCACTGTCCCAGCATGCTTGTGCTTCTGATGAATGTGTTTCTGAGTACAGAAGGCGACAAAAAAGGAGCAGATGGAATTTAGAAGTTACCGTTCTCCATCCACAGTTGGCTGAGCTGTTGGTGCTTGGAAACCTTGGTGCTTCCTACCATCTGTGTATAGGAA